GCTTCATTGCTTATTGCACAACAGTGACCAACTAATTTTCTATTATACCGATGGGAAATCAATCGAGGTACGCATGTCAGCTGCGGGAGTACCGTTCCACCAGAAGTCCCGGATAGCTTCCATTGCTTCCATTTATTAACGTCTCTTTAAACAAACCACCTTGAAGATGCGGATATAGTTCATTCAAGACGGCCAAATCGCAACCAGCACCAAGCCGATTAGCATGTCCAGGTAGCGATAATCACGCGCTACTTAGAGTTGGCTATAACCTTTTTGCTCTGTCATCGTCATCACTGACACTAGCGACTTATAAACAATAGTGCATTAGTGACGACGATGATCCCTCGTTCTTGTTCACATTACTGACGGCAAATATCACCGCTAGAAATCTCACCGGACACCACGTGGAGGTAAGAATCGGAGTTCAGGTGCACAGAGGTCGCAAATCGCCAATCAGGGCAGAGTCCAACAACCATTGATAGGCGTTCTTATGCACCTGCTTTACCCGGCACCCGGATAGCGATCTAGCATTGGTGCTAGGGAAATACGGTGATGGAAGGCTTGTAGTTCGGGAGAAAATTTCCTGCCTCCTTGGGCCTCGATATGCTGACAGGTGTACGGGGAATTTACATGACCGTAAAAAAGGAGATTCCCAACTCAATCGGAAAGGAAATATATTCTACCAAGGGAACAAAAATTTGTGTTTCCTTTGTAAGATGGAGGGGATGAACTCTTGCCCGAAGTGAAAAATAAACTACTGATCTATCATTAGGAAAACTGTATCAATTAGTCTTAGTATAGCACGAGAAAAATGTCGTTGGTAACATTGTAATTGTAATTGTTCAGTGAATAGGCTGTGCCAACCGATAAGTTGGCTTATCTACCATAGAGGTAACTCTAAGACTAAAAGGTCCCGAAGAAACGTGCTCAGCTTTTTGGCTCAGCTCTGGTACTCTCTTCGGTCCCAAACTAATCGATTCATCCCTCGAAACATAGGAAAATCAACTAATCCCTCATTTTATCTGTCAAACTTTCATAGCGAATCAAAACAAACATTGTGTAGTACTAGAATTTTGACTAGAATGAGGTACATGAATCGTTTGCTTGGGACCAATAGGCTAGTCAAGCAGCGAGCTAATTTAAAATCGTTAGTTTCGTATTGATTGTTGTATCTACTGTGCACTCGTCAGCTCGTGCGATACTCTAGACACACATGGGTGGTCATATCCGGGTCCTTCTCTGGGTAGGCTCGTGTCCGTCCAGGTTCTGGTACATTAACTTATCTCTATGCATGTTAATTATACTTTATAAACTCACCTTTTGATAATAAATTCGATAATGCTGAAACTATATGAAGGTTAGTGATTAGGTGTGTGCTGCGATGGATTGGTAATTGAAGGAAATGAGGTTCTGATGTGGAATATAGCGCAGACTACAAATCAAGAAGACAAGCAACTCTGCCAAAAATCAGGAGACAGTAACGGCAACGCCTCTTCTGAGCAAAAGTGGAACCCGTGTATGATGTGTGTGTTAATTCACGAGTGTATTCACACACATAGGTAGAAATATATAGCTGTCAATTGTTGGTTTTGTTATGATTGTCGTAAAAAGTGAAAAGTTTCTTTGTTTGCTTTATGCTGACAACGAGTGAAATTCCACTGAAATTGAACAGATGCGTAAGTAAATTTGTTTTGAAAATTAAAATAATGGCAATGATGCCATTCACAATGATGGTGGAAGCTTTCTTGATCATTTAATTGCTATATCAACCTTTCACTTTTACTAAGCCCTTTAGTGATGCATTTATGGGTATTCTTATGGTGCATTAGTAAAATGCATGCCCGTTCCGCACGGCTTTGACACCTGACCACAGTAGTTGTGACGCTTGGCAACTTGGCACAGTACTCGCTGACCATTTGAATGTCATTGGCCAATCCGACACTGATCGCGCACGGGCAGAACTTTTCCTACGTTGTGTTTATTTAGGGATGTATGAATAAAAGACACAGTTTGCTTCACCGTCCTGCCATGGCGGAGGTATTCAAGATACTACTCTATTTATTGATAGTGTATAGGGATACAATACAACACACAGCTGGTAGGGTAGGAACACAGGTAGTGGACGTTTGCACAAACATACTCCCCCCCAAAACCAACGGTTTTATACTGTACACATGATATTAAAAAAATGACTTTAATTATTCTAAAACATTTGTCAATGCATTGTCGGGGGCAATAAATCATCAATATTGCCACAGCGTAAGCAACCTGCGTGAACGGCTTCTGTTGTGATCTTTCTTTTGCTGGTTCGATGTATTGTTCGTCCGTACAATAAACTGATGACACTATAGTGATCACATATAACTGCTCAAGAATCCGGAAAACGCACTCGCCGTTGAATTGAGCATGTTTCTCGGCCAAGAATGCTGCGGTTCACGATGAGCCAAGAGCGAACATGCTCTGCTAGATGGCTACCTTGGTGGCCACACCATCGTAGCCGGGAGGGAAGCAGAATCCTCAGAGTTGATGCTGATGCACTAAGAAGTGTTTCTCCGGAATTGCAACGGAAAGGACAATCACATCGAAATTCGATAAAACGTTGTCCGCGGGTATCGAACGGCTGGTCTCGGCACCATTATGATCGCGCACGGGCAGAACTTTTCCTACGTTGTGTTTATTTAGGGATGTATGAATAAAAGACACAGTTTGCTTCACCGTCCTGCCATGGCGGAGGTATTCAAGATACTACTCTATTTATTGATAGTGTATAGGGATACAATACAACACACAGCTGGTAGGGTAGGAACACAGGTAGTGGACGTTTGCACAAACAGACACTGTTGTTATCATTCTCTGAAAGGGGTCGATTCCAAAAATTGTTAAAGCATACAGAGGATCACTATCCGATGGTTTCATGTTTTGACAACATCTAAAATGAAAATATATTCTTTATCATTACGTACCGTTTGGAACCATTCATTTTTATTTTCTCCAACATTGGATATTGCTACGCCTTCCGTTGGATCGTGCTGTAGGTACTGGATCTTTCTTTTTATTGAATCCTTGAATTTTCAGCAGCTTCCGAATGACGGTAGTTCATTCAATAGTGATGCAAGCTGCCACTTCCTTATAATTCAAGAGCCACAAGTGAAAAGGGCATACAAGCTTTTTGTAAACAAACCTTTGTAGGCCCTTTTCTCGCCAACGAGGGTCGCCCACGTAAACCAACAACATCATTGGGAAGGGGATAGCTTCCCCTACCCGCTAATGTTAATGATTTGCGTTAGTGTCATATGGGTGGCGAGAAAAGGGCATAAAAAGGTTTGTTTACAAAAAGCTTGTATGCCCTTTTTACATGTTGTTCTTGAATTGATTGCTTTTAACAGGCAAAATAAACAATATTTCGATTCCTAGTTCAGAAGCAAAAGTTACTTTCACTAGGTATCGATACGAGTTCAAATCCTCTACTTGATCCACCATTACAAGTTTTTAGGTTTAGAGTTGGAAAACCACAGGCTTGCTGGGATTAAGTTACAAATTGCCGCGAAATTTTGTAGAGTAAAACAAAAACAACAACAATAGCGGCACCGGTGGTGTAGTGGTAAGCGTGATTACCTCTCACCCCAGCAGGCCTGGGTTCAATCCCAGTCGGCGTCGCCGGGATGTTCTGAGACATAACATTTCTGATCACTGATAAAACCGTTGGTCCTTCTTCTTCTTTTTTCCTTTATTTAACGTCGGTCTCTGTTCCGCAATCTAGTGCCAATCACCGACGGACATCGATTGCCATCCATTGACGGCAATCGAATGTGCAGGAAGGCAGCTTCCACACATGCGTAGGATATCACACCCATTCAACACCGGGACTAACGGCTTTATTTCCCTTCCGAAGGAAGTCGTGACCAGAGATTTTTATGCCTCAGAAAAATCCCACCGACCTCGGCTAGGATTGAACCCAGACCCATCGGGGTGTTAGAAAGCAGTCACGCTTATCACTACACCACCGGCGCCGGCTGCCGTTGGTCCCCGGTTCATGATTTGATGGGTCGATAAGTAGGTTCCAGGTGTAGGAGCTGCCTTCCTGGCGTCGGTAGCATTGGTGTGCTCAGCACGGAAAACAAGATCGACGGAAAACAAATCAAAGGAAAAAACAACAACGAGTACCGTGTTATGATTACTCGTTTCGGTGACATTAGGTCACACACACAGTCACTGTTTATGAGCAGTCTTATTAACACTTGTGTTTCAAAGTTCCACCTTTGATTGACAGAGGCGCTGTTATCAGTAACGTTTGATTTTTGTATGGGAGAAGGGAACTGTTGCCAGTCTTCTTGATTTGTAGTCTTCGGCTTAGGTAAATTTTTAACAGTATAAGCAATTTTAACAGTTATGTGATAGCGGCGCCGATGTTGTAGTGGTAAGCGTGATTACCTCTCACCCAAAGGGTCAGGGTTCAATCCCGGTCGATAGGAAGGGTCCAGGTATGCCTCCCTGGCGTCGGTAGCATTTGGTACACAGTACGGAAAATAAGATCGACGAAAAACAAATCCAGAAAAAAACACCCGGGCTAGGCGCTTAATACAAAGGTGATACACAAGGAAGAAGTGTTAGTTTGTTTACTGAAATGAACTATGCCCATTTTGTTATGGCAAGTTTTGCTATAAGAAATGCTCCTTGTGTTTATTAGCGAAATTCACATCAAATATTGATTAACTGCGTAGGAAATTAGTTTGGCACCTTCCGGTCGTATGAAACAGGTCAAAAACTGTCCAAATGTTTGTTTTGAATTTCTGTATGGCAAAATAGTGAACTTTTCGTGAACATTAACGGCAAAGAACTCACCAACACTGGGAGACTGTGAGCTCCTGCCCACCTGTCATAAAACCATCTCGGCACCCGGGCACCCAGCTCCCAATTGAATAACACAGTATAGAAAAATTCAGCTGTTCCTAGAATGGTCCCCCAAACCTTGCGCCAAAATTTAAGGAACAAAAATACATTGAAATAATTTATGAAGATCACAATAATACACAAAATTACAAAATAAACAACATAAATAATAATCAAAACATCACTTAATGTAATATCTTATGTGAAATCTTCGCGCTGCGCGACTACCACGTTCATTTAGAAGTCATACTATTATTCGGAGATAAATGATTGACCATCACCTGATTTTCACTATTATTTTGAACCTCAATGGTGGAAGCAGCACTGGAAAACGCACCATCCGTCGATTCTTCCAACCCACCACTCGCCGACTCACCCTCGTCCATGCTTTGATTGATCCTAACGAGGGCACTCTCACCCGGTGATGAACACTTAACCATAGAGAAACTTACATTACTATTATCTAGGGAGCTAGCGAGAAAACTGCCGCTTCCACTGGTACTGGCTCCGCTCTCGGATGGATGACTTTCGTCGGTCGGTGTTGGCGATGTGCTTTTGCTGGCTGACTTCCTGTTGGGGGTTGACACCGTAGCCGTTTGCTTCCGTTTCACTCCGGAACGACGAGTCCGAGTCGCTGGTTTCACCAGTTGCCCGTTCAAAATAAGTTTGCAGGCTTGGTTCGTTGCCGCTATCGAACTAGCAATGTTCGGCGGAATGTTGGAACCGGTGGACACATTCAGACACTTCATTGCCGGCAGGGCCTTTATGTTACGAAGCAAGCGGAAGTTGGTCTGAAAAAAATTCAACTGCACAATGCGATACTAATTCCATATAGATACGATCTATTTATATTTACCCTAGCAATGGAGTGGGCATCAATGGTAAGTTTCTTCAGAGTAACCAACTGCTGCATATGATTAATCATCTCTGGTGTTATGCGGCTTATGTCAACCGACAATTCCTCGAGCAACGGTACAACTTCGGCGACCGATTGGAGCTCATCACCGTGCATCCGGAAAGCAAGGCTTTTAAGGTTCGGAAAGCGCTTCAAAATATCGCCAAATTTGTTCGGTCTAATGAAGGTACACATTGAGAATTTTTCCACAGTCCGCATTGGCACCACACGGTCATCCTCTTGGAATAGTAGCAGACAGTGTAACGAGAGCGTCTATACAAAGAGAACCTATAAGAATTTATATCAATTTAAACTTTACAAACAGATTTACCTTCAAGCATGTCATCCTTTCCATTCCGTTGAGGGAGAATCTTTCTGTTGCTAACCCGCCAGAAAGCTGTAGCACCTCAACGCGTGAGAGACTGGTAAAGATCGCAGTCAGCAACTGCTGATCATATTCGCAGCGAAACGATAATAGAGCCGTTTTCAACGACTTGCAACCCAGAAGGAAGTCCTGAAAGGCTCGTGCGTGGAAAGTTCTTCTTTTACGCCACTGATGTTCCGGCTGAAGCAAGGTAAGGTCTAGTACTTTAAGCGCAGGCAACCGCAAACTCAAAAAGTCGTTGATCGCTTCACAACTGACAGTTGCCTTCAAGACCTTCAATCTAGCGGACATCCAGAGGATCATACTCAGATCCAATGGTCGATACAGAAGTGTTTTGAGCTCATTAACATTGGGCATGGTTCGCAAGAATGACATCTCGAAGCTGTACAGATTAAACGTCGAAACATAGTTCTCCACATCGAAGCTCAAAGAACGAACAGCATAAAGAATGGGTATCGAGCTGTGCATTGTATCATCGCACTCGAAGTATTTAGCTTTAATGCACAACTTGGTCATTCGAGTGCACAGCGCAAGCAGTTGCAACAGATCCTGGCATTCAAGGGACACCAGTGTCAGCTCCAATGTATCCAAATGTACAGCCAGCTGTTTAACAATCTCAAACAAATAAGCCGGACTGTCTAGCTTGAACGATCGCAAGCACAGATGCTTGTAGTATCTTTCCGGAACCATTCCGATGTCTCTAGGAGGGTATTTCCGCTGGTCTAGGTCCAAGTTGAGCATGATCCGATTTGCTAAGTGTGTGAATATGAGGTGATTCCAGTGCTTACAAACGAGTGATAAATCGAGTAGGCATGTGATGTCGAAATGTTTGAAAATCGCAATCCAAATCTAGAGACGTGAAACGAAAATTCAGTTAGTTCCGCCTGGTAACCCTAGACTTTGGACTCCCAATCTGCAGCCTCAAAATGCGGTCATTACTAAATGGAATATAAATATTTTGAGAAAGGCGTCTGATAAATTTCCCAGCTCTGATTCCGGAACGAACGCAAATGGAAGATAAGACAATGGGGACACACTAACCTCATTGGGAAGCTGGGCAGACGGCATTTCTGTATTCCCATTCTTCATTTTACCGATTTAGCAGGGTGAATTTCTACTTCCCGGAACGATATGTTACTGTATGAAATGGTTGAATGTTAAACACTTGAGTTCTTCAATTATTAATCGAGTAAATCATAATTTTTGCGACATACAAATAAAACACTCAACACGAGGCCATTTTTATCTCTAAAATCGTGAACAAAATGAAAAAAACAGTTGTTTTCTTTTTTCTGTTAAAATGAAACACGCTTTCCGTTGCCAAGTATCTGCCAGAGACGCGGTGTGGCCAGAGACGCAGTGTGGCGAAACATTTCAATGGACTAGAATCCATCTCCACAGAGTTATACACGGCCAACTACAACTAAAGCCCTACAGTAAAAGCAGTAAAAGTATGGACGACTGTCACCACAAAACTGAAAAAAGCTGTTCCAATCGTGCAAAGCGGTGCATTTTGACGGTTCGATTGGAACAACTTTTGACAGACGTCCATACTTTTACTGTAGGGCTTTAACTACAACAACTCAGCGACTGAATTCAATTGACACAGAGCATTTTTTTCACACGAAACTCATTGCTAATGAATAAGAGCAGCCGTACCAGTCGTTGCCATTTGCGGCACTATTTTACTTACGCACAGCGTTTACATTTTGGCTTAATAACCACACCGGTCGTTGCTATCATAGTCATAATTTAAGTTACTGTTTTCCACACCGGCAAAACAAACTTTTGGCGTTTATTCAAAATAGCAACCGTCTGATGCGTTGCTACCGATAAAAATATAAGCACCGATTTTCCCACGACACGACGCGTGGCTAGTGTTGCCAGAACTCCTAACGAGTCTGACTCTGACTCCAGCCCAAAAATTGCTTTAAGTGCTTTCTATTTTTTTTTTTTCGTTTCTTACAGACCCAGTGTTACACAGGAAACCACGCCTGGTTAATAATTAATTTTAGAAATGTCGAAAAACGTTTCTTCAACAGGTTCACATTTATTAAAAAATTACTTTTTTTCACAGCCCCATTCAGGGTTGCTTCCACTCACTTGCTATAAAAAAATGATTTTCTGAATTTTGAAATCATTCGATGTTATAATGATATTTTGTACTTGTTAGATACAAGAAGCGGATGAAAGGCAACCCGCATAAACGCAAACCATCACTTGACCTTACCGATAATGGTTATAAATTGTTTATAATCCCTCCTAAACTTTAACTGAAATGGTTTTGGAACCTCACATGAACGTTTGTGTGATAAAGTTTTAACCTTATGTATTATGGTTTTTAGGAAGCGGACCTTACAAATAATGGGTCGTTAAGAACCAGTACCATTCCAAATTCTTGTTTTCTCCATACATTTTCGGAAAGAGAACTATATTAGAACGTTTTTACTTATGGTTTGAGAACATTAATGATTATGGTTATGGTAGTCAGTAAGGTCCATTAATCGTTTTGTATTATCGCTCAACTTTACGTGGAATATATCGCGAACTGATAATTATTAATTTACAGGCAACCAATTCGCGATATATTCCACATAAAGTTGATCGATGTTACAAAACCATTCATGGGCCTTACTGACTACCATAACCATAACCATTAATGTTCTCAAACCATAAGTAAAAACGTTCTAATATAGTTCTCGTTCCGAAAATGTATGGAGAAAACAAGAATTTGAAATGGTAATGGTTCTTAACAACCCATTATTTGTAAGGTCCGCTTCCTAAAAACCATAATACATAAGGTTAAAACTTTATCACACAAACGTTCATGTAAGGTTCCTAAACCATTTCAGTTAAAGTTAAGGAGGGATTATAAACAATTTATAACCATTATCGGTAAGGTCAATTTACGGTTCGCGTTTATGCGGGAAGTGTTTGACTCATAAAACCTGTCAATTTTGCTACCAGAGTGTTACAATAAGCGATTTTATGATTCATGAGCGTTCACTCAGAGTGAGCGCTCGTGAGTCGTAAAATCGCTGATTGTGACTATCTGAAAGCGAATTGGACAGGTTTCATGTGTCAAACACTTGCCTTTCAACCTCTTCTTGTATCTAACAAGTACAAAATATGATTATAACATCTAATGATTTCAAAATTCAGAAAACCATGTTTTTATAGCAAGTGAGTGGAAGCAAGCCTGGCCCCATTGATTCGTCTATGCTCCAGTCCATTTTTGAAACAACCAGCACCGACATTGACATCGAGAACCTCATGTTTTGCTTCCGCCTACAGACATGTTATTTTATTCATCATCCTGCCTGGCCTCAAGAACGGATGGAGATCAGCCGGGAGTAGTGTGGATACTTTAATATTGTATTCAACAAGCGATCGCGTTAGGTATTCTGTTGGGAAGTTTTAGAACATTAGCGCTTTCCCTGAACTCGTGCAAGAGTGAGTGAGGTTTTTTGTTTTGATTTGACATGCTGAAAATTGATCTTGGTGTTTTTCGTTTTAGGCATGCCTTCATGGGTTTGTTCGCGTGTGGTCACTTTCTGCGCTAGTAACGTCGCTGATGGATAACGGAAGTAGAACCCAACGTAGGAGACTCTTATCAACCCATACTTATGCCGTGCTGGACATCGATGGAATCAAACTTCAACTGAAGAATCCCTGATCTCATCTTGGCTGGCGGGGCAGCTGTTCTGAGCTGAATGTGGTAACTATTTTCTGGAATCCTACCCTATTCGACTACACATACAACATTCATCAGCTGTGGCGTGGAGACTACGTATATACGCTGTCTTGCAATGAGCACTCATACATCTAGTTTTCACTGGAAATCCTATGTATGAGTGCTCATTGCAAGACAGCCTATATCACGTGATATAGGCTGTAATGTGAACGGGGTATAAGGCGCTTATACGCGTGCCGGAACCGAACTGGCATAATAAATATATTTTTGTATTTGTACACGGCGAATGAGAACGACTCAAATTTGAGTTTAGTTCACTCATAATCGCCAAAAGTGCAGGAACTCAGCGATGAGTAAAATTTGTCTCATGGTTTCCTGTGGAAAACCTAAAAAATCTGCCGGAAAATGAGGAAATTGACGAAAATTTTATTCAGTCTCGGAGTAGTACCAATAGACTGAGTGAATCCAATCTTTACTTTTCTCAAATTCAGGAATTTTTCCCTGGAAAATCCTGGAAAAACCTGGATAAACATGAGGCAAATTAACTCATCGCTGAGTTCCTGCACTTTTGGCGATTATGAGTGAACTAAACTTAAATTTGAGTCGTTCTCATTCGCCGTGTAGATTTTTATTTATCAAATAAAGAAAATATTTGGATTTAATATTTATTCGAATTGAATACTAAAAATTATTTTATAATCTTCAAAATACTTATATTTAAATTGAAAATGCTTTTTGTGTAAATCAAAACAGTACATATTATTTCAAATTTACCACATTTTCATGTCAAAAACTTGTTTTGAATTGAAAATAACCCACTTTTAGTTTCAATACGCCGTGTTTTTCATTTGACAGTAGTACAATTCATCTTAAAAGTTTTAGCTTTTAAAAGTAGTGAACGGAAAACTTTTAATTAGACAATTGGTTGACTTTAGTTTTGAAAGCTAACCGCTTTCTACCAAAAAGAACCAACGCAAACTTTAAATTTTACTAATGGTTTTTTTAATTTTATCAACGATTATTTTTTGTGTGTAATATCTAGAAGAGGTCTTCGGTCTCCAGGTCACTCGTCTACGTATGTATACATGAATTGTTTCCATTAATGTGATAAATATTTTGAGTACTTCTCGAACCCCAGTTTTGAAATTTCACAAATTTAAGGGTGTGAATGTACTGACAGTCCACCACAATTGATGATTTACTATATATTGAACTAAGATATGCCCAAACAAATCAATGAGAGCAACCGTAACGGTACGCTGCTAAACTCATTTTAGCAGCCCCATCATAGCACAGCTACCGTATCGGGGGTTGCCATACGAGCCACTAAAATAGCAGTCGGCTTCTCGGTGAGAAGCGCGTTACCTAATTTAGCAGCGCGATAGCAGCGCGGGAGAAAGGTTGCTATTCGTAGAAATGTCAAAATTCTCACTACCGGTACGGACTACGGCGATTAAATTGATAACCGCGATAGAAGAGTTACTAAACTAAAATGAGAGCGCTGTGCGCTGTTAGAATAGTCGCTCAAATGACAACGACCGTTACGGTTGCTCTTACGGACAAAACAGTTACGCCCAAACCTTAAATCAGTCCGGAAATATGAGTTGATTCGACGCAATTTTGAGTTACTCTCATCGTTCGTGTACGTTCCACGTCTCTGATAAAAATGCATCTCGAGACAGCTTGAGCAAAAATGCATCACATGTTTTTGAATGCATTCGAATGATCTGTCTCACTCACGCAAACGTATTGAAAACATTCTCGTACTCTCTCAATCCTATTACCGCTAGCCGCCTGAGGAGCGAACGCAATACATGAGAGAACTGTCAAAATTCTTCACTCTTCACATCAACGATGCCAGATCTACGGAATTTTCCATAAATTTGTGGATTGCTCGAATTTTGCGTTAATACGGATCCATAAACAAAATTAATAGGTTTTCTAAGGAATTATGTGGATTTAGGCATTATTGTATGGAATTATTCTTGAATCCGAATAGCGATAATTTCTTCCAAAAGTTTTGGCATCTAAGGAATTGACCTCAAAGAAATGTGGCATCACTTCTTCACATCAAAACGTCCATTGATCGCGAGAAGAAAACAAGACCCGTTTTTCGTTTCTGTTTTTTGCAAAAATAGTGCTTAAAAGTTTAGCAAAAAGTAGCAAATTGTAACCGAAAGGTACGTCGATAGTGTGACGATTACGTTGATTGTAAATCCCGTTTCGTGTGGATACATTTTGGGAAAAAAAATGTACAAGTGAAAATCCATGTTCAGGAGAAAATTTTCATCTTTGTCGATTTCCTTCGATCAAGGGTGGGTGGGTGCTCCAATGGGTTGGGGGGAGGAGCGGGTGCGAAAGAAGAACCGAGATGGGATCGATAATGTTTGTGTTGTTTTTGCTCACTCTTCTGCTGAGGCAATCTCTCACACGACGACGGGATGACTATATGGTGATGGGGAGGATTTATCACTCGGAATGTTATTATCTACGATGACCTCCAGCAGCTTTCGTTATGATTCAAATGTTGCTGGTTTGTTATCGTGTTAGTATTGAATTTCAAAGATTCCCGTTTATTCTTCAGATCGATATTGGATTGGGATTTTGATTTCTATTTACGTAACGAAACGAAAACGACGAATTCGTGGGGAAGAGGAAACTAATTTAATTGACCAATCGCTAGGAGTAAACGTAAGTAGGTATATGCGTTTTGTGGCTGCTGATATTCCATTCAATTCATAGCGAATGGGTTGAGATGTGGAGTAAAATGCTGTAAATACATAGTGAAAAAATCTTGAGTGTGAGGTACCCCTTGTGAGATGTGTAACGTTTTACGTCGATTCTGGACAAAGAAATGGAATGATCGTGAGTAATCTCTGCGCAAACAAATTGTTCAACAATGTGTAACTTTAGTAAGATAAATAGTTATCAAGGTCTATGAGTTTCAAGCTTCTCATCCGTTCCGCATAGTTCTTTTTGCGTAGAGTAAAGGTCGATAAAGATGAATGTGATTGTGCTTTGACTGCTGGCTATACAGTGGAATCATACAATTGTTTAGGGTATTCAAAGTTATGATTACGGGTGGAAAAAATACTCGCTGCAGCGGGCAGACTGACCCCATTTTATTCAAGGATACTTGTATTTGCCGCACCTTGCGATGTGTACCTTCTTTTGGGTAGACAGGTACCATATACAGGTAATAAACTAGCACACCATATCAGTTGCCAGTGATATTTGTACTCTACAAAAATCAATATAAAACCACTATTAAAAATATGAATGTGCATATCGACGATATGCATGAGTAATGATGCATTGGTTATGGTAATGGTCATTGCTTTTATTCTGATGGCGACAACGTCAATCGGAGAATACACATTATTGGGTACATAGGAGCTTTAGATAACATTGTTTTTCTTTTTCTAATGAACCATAATTTTAAAACTTTTAATTTTATCCCATTCCAGATGCTGATCAGCAAAAATGTGAAACTTTAAGGTACTTTTAATTCTCGCCTAAGCATCCCTGGAAATTTGTTAAAACCACATATAAGGACATCGTCTCTCTAGCCACACCTACGGTAAAATACCATCCGTTCGCCAACCTGGTCAATAAATAAGATGGAACATGATCAACCTATCGAATCTAGCAATGCAGAATCACCGACAGCAATCACATCACAACTAAACGTCAACCAAGCGAAAGCGGACGATAATCTCAGTATCAAATCATCCGACTCGGTCACAACCAGCGGAGAGTACGAAATCGTTCCGGAAGCGCCATCCCTCTCAGACACGGTGGACGGTGCCTGTTCGACTCTTCCCTCACCGATCATGAACATTGTCAAAACGAGCGGTGAAAGTTCTTCCCCCAAGAAGCGCACGAATCCACAGGAGGAACCGGTTCGTGATCCGAAACAGGTATCCGGGGGTGAGCTTCTGAATCTGAGCGAATGCTTCGACGATGAGGAAGTGTTGGTCAGTTTGGTTGCCGTAGCACCGCCGACAAAATTGGATGCCATTTCACCGATTCTAAACATCGAAGGCAACGGAAATGTGATGGATTTGGAGAAGAACATGGATGAGGTCATCCACGAGTTAGACGAGGAACGAACACTCAGCGCGAGCGATGGCGAGCCGGGCAGTGCAAATAAAAGTAAGTTTTTTTTTCGATCGTGGAAGCGGGGAGGAAAGCGGTTTTAATTTTGCTGTTTGCTTAGTGCGATTGCTTATTTGTTGTGTTGTGCTTTTTATAACTGGCTGATCACTGGCAGCTCATCGCGGTTGATAGTATTGTAAGCGGCCTTAAAGCCGATCACTAGGTGCATGATATTCGCGACATTTTTTAAGGATTTGTCACAAAGTAATTTTTAAGTCTGCGCCTATGAACAATAACCGATAGTTCTAACATTCTCACTTTTCTTACTTTATGTATACTGCGGCTGTTCGCATAACAGTCCCGTTTCCTGTGGATTTCTTATCTACACACTAAGATTATTTCACAGATTTATGTGAAAACTTACCGAAATCTCAACAGCTGAACGTTCGGCAAACAATTCGGTGATTTTTCACAGTATTTCTGTATTTTTTCACAGAATACCAGTGAAAGATTACATGAAATCTGTGACAAATCACCGAACGTTCAGAAATATGTTTCGAGGAGTGTATCGATTAGCTTGGGACCGAAAAGAGTACCAGAGCTGAGCCAAAAAGTTGAGCACGTTTCTTCGGGACCTTCTTGTCTTTGATGGTAACTCTATGGTATGGAGTAGTAATTTGAATATAGATTCTGGAAATCACAACTAATTTAGTTCTGTAGAAAACCTGGAATATCCATAATACATGCATGATTGTTTGGAATTCTTTCTATTTCCTCAACTGTTATCAGGCTTTCTGTTATCAGTTTGGCAAAAATCCGAAATCACAAGAATTTTTGAAAGATCTGGTTTTTTGGAATGTTTTGAAAATCTCAGATTTGTAATATTGTTTGAGATTCTGCAGCTACCTATTTAGACTAAACTGAGATTATTTTTTTTTAATCTCCTTCAACATATTTCCAAAATTTTTCTCGTTTCTAAGAAAACATAAAAACAAATCCCAGATTTGGGAATATGTTCATGAGCCTGAACTTTTCAGGATTCTTTTTTCCTTTATTTAACAGCTGTTCCGCAATCTAGTGCCAATCACCAACGGACATCGATTGCCATCCATTGACGGCAATCGAATTTGCAGGAAGGCAGCTTCCACACCTGCGTACGATATCGTACCCATTTAATAACACATGGGCCGGGACCAACGGCTTTACTTCTTTTTCGAAGGAAGACGTGACCAGAGATTTTTATGCCTCAGAAAAATCCCACCGACCTCGGCTGGGATTTAACCCAGACCCATTGGGGTGAGAATGCAGTCATGCTTACCTCTACACCACCGGCGCCGGCGTTTCATGATTCTGGGTGGACATTAAAAACATTCGTAATTCTAGGCCTTTAAAAAATTTCACATTCCCCACATTTTTAAAAACTGCTCAGAACCATTGGTGATAAAAATCATTTTTTCTACACTCAACTTAGCTGAAATGAAGACAAACTTAACAGATATACCAACACACTTAATGTAGCTCGGTAAAATCTCCAACTTTTACTTTTGCTGATATCTCTGCAAAATATCTATTTGTTAGCTGATATCTCAGCAGGATCTTATTTGTTAGCTGAGTCTCGGCAATTTTTTGACTGAATCTCAGCTAAATAAATTGCAGAACTACTCGGTTGTTGGAATCTTGGAAAATTAAGTGTGAACTACCTGCATGAATTTGAATTTTGCCATAACAACATTCTCTTGTTCAAGGCCTTGCCTTGGTTCAGTGAGGGTTAGAGCCAGTGATGCAAAATATCATGACACTCACTTGACACTCGTCAACGCATCAACCGACTATCGCTGACTGAACGTTTTGTCACGCAGTGAGAGGAAGAGCCATGGCAAACAACAATCATCAGCAATGGTCGCTGTTCACAGGCAAGACGTAACACTCGCTGCTGATGATGTAAAGCACAACAAAAACAGTGAAGACTTCTGCAGTACGATGGTGAGAAAAAAAAACTAAACGACAAGTTACAAACAAAGCTGGCAAAATTAATCGGAAGCTGTTGGGCTCACTCACCAACACACTCACTTAAACCAGCAAAGCAGCAACTGCTTCAAAACGAGCACAAATGAGTGTCGTGATTGTCGGGAATGACCAGATCGGTGATGAATCACCACCGAAGACGACATTCACTAGTTGCTTTTTACTTCTTTCGTCAACTTGATGGATGGTCATGGAGAGTACTTCGACGAGCACATTGATAGGAATGTACCAAGCGGTACTACCATCAGCTGTTTGACGATCGTGATTGTGATAGGTCGCAACTCTGGTTAGAGCGCGTTCTGCCAGGTTTGTCGAGGTAGATTTCATGTGTGATTGAGTGATGACACTGGACATTGTTATGTTAATTCACTTTAAAACGCACTTTTTATATTTCATCACATCCAAAAAGTCTTAACGAAATGTGGCGCTTGCGAAGATCACTTGAAGATACGGTATGACGAAACATTGATACTAATTGTATAAAACACAAGTAAATTCTTCCAGAAATTAGTTAAGATAACATATTGAAAAATGTGTTAATTGTTAGTCCAAAAATTTAATGTTGCATTAAAATATTCTTATAATATTTCGTGTTAAATTGAAATGTTCCCTCATTTCACATCCGCTGAACCATTCTGAACGGCCATACCGTTGAGGTTATATCACAGCATTGCTAAAATGTTTTTATATGTATCTATCCCAACTAACAATGAATGTTGAATAAGAGCTTATTCAGGCAAAAATAAGCTTCTTCAGCGTTAAAATGACTTATTGAGCTGTTGATCAACTAAAATTGTTTGTTGGGATATCTGTTTCGTTACCATGCAGTCAACAAAGTAAAAGTGCAAGAAGAGCTGCAAAATGGAGCACATGCGATACGACAATGGAGTGATGCTCGTTAAGGAAATACCCGGAGACACTGTCTATTTTCCACACTGGTGTTTCGGTTTTATAAGACGTAACTAGGACTTAAGATCATCATACAAAGAACTAGCAACTCAAGATCATCATACAAAGATAATGGACGTCGACATGTCGTAGAACACATCAGACTAGTAGCAACAATTAATACGAAACTATCGATTTTAAATTGGCTCACTACTTGACTAGCCTATTGGTCCCAAGCAAATCGATTAACGTACCCCATTCTAGTCGAAATTCTAGTACTACACTATGTTTGTTTTGATTCGCTATGAAAGTTTGACAGATAAAATGAGGGATTCGTGGATTTTCCTATGTTTCGAGGGGTGCATCGATTAGCTTGGAACCGAAGAGAGTACCAGAGCTGAGCCAAAAAGTTGAGCACGTTTCTTCGGGACCTTCTAGTCTTAGAGTTACCTCTATGCTAGTATTGATGCAGAGAAGGAAAATTAGTTCACAATTAGGCACGAACATTGCACAGAAGGGTGAAGAAACAGAGGCAGCTGGTGCTTTATTGTTGTTTCACATCAACAGGCTGGATGAAGCCCCAATGATGTTAACCTTATCAACTATGGTAAAAAAATACATTCAAGCATGGTCATAACATAAAAAACATTAAAAAACATATATCTTATAGTCAGTTACTCCTGCCGGTGAAAAACAAAAGAAAACTTTCGACGAAGCGCATCACGGGAAAGATGAAAGTCGAAAACAGATGCAACTCTGTTGAATGTTCTCTGTTGAATGTTCTCTGTAGTCCGCAAATCGCACCGTGTGCTCCATAATTTGTGCGACGTAGAGGCAGTCTTAGCATAAGGTTATTACGAAGCGGTCGGGGTTGAACATTCAGGTCAATTTGCTTCATGATAGCCTCGCAATCTGTCCTTCCTTGCAGGATATCTGCCGCGGTTAGGGCTCTGCTTGTGTCTCGTCTAGTCCGGAGAAGTTCTAGGTCGATAAGTTGACAACGGCTTTCGAACAATACTCAAGCGTCGATCGAACAAGCGAACAATAGAGAGATTTTAGACAGCAAATATCAGTGAAGTTTTTAGCTATCCTAGAAATGAACCCTAAAGTTCTTGACGCCTTATCGACAACATATGCAATGTGTTGCTTGAATGAAAGCTGCGAATCCAAGGTCACACCCAAGTCTTTCACCTGATTCACGCGTTCGATTGTCGAGCCAAGCAGGTCATAGCTAAATATTATCGGTTGTTGTTTTCGTGAGAACGTAATAGCGGAGCATTTGGCTGGGTTCACTACCATTCTGTTTAACCTGCACCAACTAGCGAATACATTCGGTTGACGTTGAAGAAAGTGACAGTCAGCAATAGAGCAGATTCGTAGGAAAATGTTGAGGTCATCTGCATATGATAACCGAGGAGCTTTGATGACCAGATGCACGTAGTTGAAGTACAGAATAAAAATTAACGGTCCCATGTGGCTTCCCTGAGGTATATCTGATGTGGCGAAGAAGCTAGCTGATCTGCAATCCCCTATGGCAACCTTTAGTTGCCGACCGGTAAGATATGATCGAAACCAACTCAGAAGATTACCGCATACACCGAGCCTGCCAAGTTTAGCAATCGCAATAGCATGGTTCAACTTGTCGAATGCTGCGGATAGGTCTGCATAAATAACGTCCCTTTGAACCCGATCCGACATGCTTTCGGTTATATACGATGTGAGACACAGTAGATTGGTGGTAATAGAGCGGCCGGCAGTAAACCCATGTTGATCAGCACTCAAATACTGCTTGCTCACTAGCTCGAATAGCTTCGAAATGGCACTTAACGATGTAATTCCTCGATAGTTATCCACAGGTCGTTTCCTTCCTTTTTTGTGGACGGAAAACATGTGCGCAAATTTCCAGCAAGATGGAAATATGCCACCTGAGAGAGACATTCGGAACAGGCGAAGAAGCGGAATTAACAAGCTAGCAATATGTCTCTTCAAAAATACAGATGGAACTCCATCAAGTCCAGGATTGAAGGATGACTTGAGGCCTTAGAAATCATCTCAGCATTAACATCAATTGCACCCAGCGTTTGATCATTTACTGGAACGTTCCTGGCAGCCAGGTTAATATGGTCGTCAGTTAGTATCTCATT